CTTTATTGTTTTTTATTGCATCTATTTGATTATTCTCTCTTTTCTTTTTTATTAGTCTAGCAGTCTATTTGGTTGATCTTTAAAAAAAAAAAAAAACAGCTCTTGGATTTATTTATTTTTTGAAGGGTTTTTTGTGTCTCTATCTCCTTCAGTTCTGCTCTCTCTGATCTTAGTTATTTCTTGTCTTCTGCTTGCTTTTGAGTTTTTTGATCTTGCTCCTCTTGCTCTTTCAATTTTGACAATAGCGTCTCGATTTTAGATCTTTGTTTCTCATGTGAGCATTTATTGCTATAAATTTCCCTCTAGACACTGCTTTAAATGTGCCCAGAGATTCTGGTACGTTGTGTCTTCATTCTTGTTGGTTTCAAAGAACATTTTTATTTCTGCCTTCATTTCATTGTTTATCCATTCATCATTCAGGAGCAAGTTGTTCAGTTTCCATGTGCTTGTGCGGTTTTGAGTGCTTTTCTTAATCCTGAGTTCGAATTTGATTGCGCCATGGTCTGAGAGTGTTTGTTATGATTTTTGTTCTTTTGCATTTCCTGAGGAGTGATTTGCTTCCAATTGTGTGGTCAATTTTAGAGTAAGTGCAATGTGGTGCTGAGAAAAATGTGTATTCTGTGGATTTGGGGTGGAGTGTCCTGTTAATGTCTATTAGGTCCACTTGGTCCAAATCTGCGTTCAAGTCCGGGATATCCTTGTTGACTTTCTGTCTCGTTGATCTGTCCAATATTGTCAGTGGAGTGTTAAAGTCTCCTGCTATTATTGTGCGGGAGTCTATGTCTCTCTGTAGGTCTTTAAGAATTTGCTTTATATAACTGGGTGCTCCTACATTGGGTGCATAAATATTTAGGATAGTTAGCCCTTCTTGTTGCATTGATCCTTTTACCATTATATAATGCCCTTCTTTGTCTTTTTTTATCTTTGTTGGTTTAAATTCTGTTTTATCAGAGACTAGGATTGCTACCCCTGCTTTTTTTTGCTCTCCACTTGCTTGGCAACTCTTCTTCCATCCCTTTATTTTGAGTCTATGTGAGTCTTTGCATGTGAAATGCGTCACCTGAATACAGAATACCAATGGGTCTTGACTTTTTATCCAGTTTGCCAGTCTGTGTCTTTTGAATTGGGGTGTTTAGGCCATTTACATTCAAGGTTAATATGGTTATGTTTGAATTTGATCCTGGCATTTTGTTACTGGCTGGCTGTTTTGCCCATTAATTAACATGGCTCCTTCATTGTATCATTATTCTTTACCATTTAGTACATTTTTGCAGTGGCTGGTACTGGTTGTTCATTTCCCTGTTTAGTACTTCCTGCAGCAGCTCCTGTAAGGCAGGTCTTGCAGCGACAAAATATCTCAGCAATTGCTTGTCCATAAAAGATTTTATTTCTCCTTCACTTATGAAGCCTAGTTTGGCCAGATATGAAATTCTGGGTTGAAAGTTCTTTTATTTAAGGATATTGAATATTGGTCCCCACTCCCTTGTAGCTTGCAGGGTTTCTGCCAAGAGATCTGCCGTGAGTCTGATGGTCTTTTCTTCGTGGGTGACTCAACCTTTCTCTCTGGCTGCCCTTAGGATTTTTTTCTTCATTTCAACCCTGGTGAATCTGACAATTATGTGCCTTGGGGTTGCTCTTCTTGAGGAATATCTTTGTGGTATTCTTTGTATTTCCTGGATTTGAATGTTGGCCTGCCCTTTTAGGTTGGAAAAGTTCTCTTGGATTGTATCTTGAAGAGTGTTTTCCAACTTGGATTCATTCTCCCTGTCACATTCAGGTATGCCAATCAAGCATAGATTAGGTTTTTTTACATAATCCCATAGTTCTTAGAGGCTTTGTTCATTTTTTTTTTTCACTCTTTTTTCTCTAATCTTGCCTTCTTGTTTCATTTCATTGATTTTATCTTCTATCTCTGATATCCTTTCTTCTGCTTGATCGATTCGGCTGTTGAAACTTGTGTATGCCTCAAGAAGTTCTTGTGCTGTGTTTTTCAGCTCCATCAAGTCGTTTATGTTCTTCTCTAAGCTGGTTATTTCAGTTAGCATTTCGTCTAACCTTTTTTTCAAGGTTCTTAGTTTCTTTGCATTGGGTTAAAACATAGTCTTTTAACTTGGAGAAGTTTGTTATTATCCACCTTCTGAAACCTGTTTCTGTCAATTTGTCAGATTCATTCTCTTTTTTTCGTTCCCTTGATGGTGAGAAGTTGTGATTCCTGGGAGAAGAGGTGTTCTGTTCTTTGATGGTTTCATCCTTTTTGCGATGTTTTTTTCCCATCTTCATGGATTTATCTCCCTTTAATCTTTGAAGTTGGTGATTTCAGGAGAAGTTCTGAGTGGACCTTTTTTTCTGTTGAGGTTGGAGCTGTATCTCTTTTGGCCTGTAGAGGGCATTGCTGGGCTCTCTGGGGTTCAGTCAGGTTGTTGGGTGGCTGGTCCTTCCCTGGAGTCTGTTTGCAGGTGAGATTGGCTCCACCTTCCCTATGGCGTCTCTCCCAGAGCTTGATCTTCCAGGTTGGGGTCAAGCTGGTGTATTTGCTGCCAAGCTCTCTAACAGGGGCTTCAGTTTGAGTTCAGCAGAGGTGGGGCCTACCAGGCCTTATGGTCTGTTTCACTGCTTTCAATTCTGCCTCCCTCTGTGGGATGGTCCGTCCCACTGGCGTTAGACCAAACTCCCACCCAGGTCCCTGCGAAAACCTGCCACACCCCGTGGTAGCCGCTGCTCAGATTTGCATCAACCACCCACAGTGTTCCACTGTCTGGCAGGGCTCTTGTGGACTGTGGGTTGTAGGAGGGATGAGATAAGCACAGGCTCCAAAACGGAGCACCAAGTGGGTTAAGTCCCCCGACCCTCCAAGCTGGGTGCACATTTCAGGTGGGGACGTGCCCCACCCCCCATTTTGATTTGCCCCCCCCGGGTGGCTCTTGCCCTGCGGCTCCTTCCCTGGGCCTAAATTCAGTGCCCTATCAGTCCAATAGAAACGAACCTGGCACCTTGTTTGGAATCGTGAAGTCCTCTAGCCCTCTGAGTCTCATTCACTGGGAGCTGCATTCCGGTGCTGGCTTCGCTTGGCCATCTTGGCGCCCCATCCCCCTCAAAAGTTTCATATATTGGTTCCACATTGTAAGTAAGCTTAAGTACATGGGAAAGGCCACCCTTAAGCGATGTTTCTTTAAGCTGATTTTAAAAACCTTATAAATATATTAAAAACACAAAACAAATATCTGAACATAGCAATTTCTATGAGTATCATCTGCAATTTCATCCATATTATATGCAATATAAAATGTGCTTTTGAATTCTTTTTGTAAACTTCAGAGTACCGTATTATATAATCCAATTTCTAACTATTTCTCTTGGCATTTAAAAAAAATGACAAAATATAGATAAATCCTGTCTTTAGGATCCTCATCTGTCATGTCCCCTTCCTAAAAAGAACTTTTGGAACACTTTCATAACTAAATCCCCTTAGGTGAAGTCTAGAATGTTCCAGAGTAAATACATTTTTTTAGGAACTAAAGAGAGCAACAAATTGTAGAGTCTAACTATAGTAACATGTTCTAGAACACTCTATCAGGTTCAAACAAATCACAATCCACGTTAAAAAAAATCATAACATTAAGTTATTTTGAAAGTACCAACAAAATTAAAAGGTTATATCCTCAGGAACAGGGTTTGTAATATGATTATTTTAGTATAAAAGGAAGAACCATTATGTTGGAACCTGTGAAATGCATAAAATAGATTTTCAAACATGAGATTCCATTTTCAAGTTTTTTACAAGTACTAATTAGAAAAATTGCAAGGACTGTATATGTGCAGTGCCTTTAGATAATTCCAAATCTTGTGATATCTCTTTCTTACTTGTTATTCCCTCAGCCAGATTACAACTGCTTTAGGGTATAGTATGGAGATTTTCTGCCAATACCAGTAATTGTTATACCTGATTTACAGAATATTATAAAAAAGCAATATGAGGAAATCAAGCAAAATGAAATATATTTAGAAGAAAAATAAGTATCAAATATCATTAAAATACAATCTAGTTGAGATTTACTCATTCAAATTTATTCCCAAGCAAAACATATTACTTATTCTTTAATCTTGTTTAGTTAGAAACAGGTATTTCCTAATACTAGCTAGCTTATAATTACCATTTCAACTAGGGAAGTTGGTGAGGAAAGAAGAAACACTGCAGAAATTAATGTTCAGATAATGCTTAATGCTCACTCGGGTCCAGAGTTTAACATTTTGACCAATTTTTTTAAGACAAATAATCTAAGGAGAAAGGAACTAATGGATTCAAGTTTAATCTTTGCAATTTTGTATTCAATCTATTTTAAATTACCATAAGAAATAATATGACTTCGGGGAGAGGGAGTAAGCTACCCAGTCCACAAACTGGATGATCTTTTTGTCAGAATGAAGAATTAACTGTAACAGAGCAGGACCTTAACAAACATCAGCTTCTTTCACAGAACAAGTTGTTAAATTTTAAATTCTCTTAAACAATTGTTATCTATAATCTGCTTAAGAATCTATTTATTTCCCAAAATTTTATACCTTTCAAAATGCTCAGAGAATGGAAAAATATTCTGCCCTTCTGCACTTACTCTCCATCAGCTGTATTTAATACAGCAATTCTGCTATCACTCTGAGCATTTAATTGTACTGTATACTCCCAGTAAAGTGGGGGAGGGGGTCTCTCTTTGAGGACCTGAAAACAGAAATTTCTGTCACAGACTAGATGAAAGCTCTCTATTTTTGTACTATCACTCTTTTTGTCTGTCACTGTAGCTTTTAAAATTTCATGCAAACTGTGCTTCTATAAAAATATAATTAAACTGCATTAAGAGACAAAACCAAAAACAACCTTCTAATTAACATGTACTAAGTAGTCACAATGTACTTTATGACCTCTAGGTATTTAACAAACTGTACTTCATGCCCTATATCAAAGTTTGTAGCAACTTATCACTCAGTACCACATATGCTACTAATTATCCACGTTCATAATAGCATTGTAACTTGCAGAGGAAAAAGTCTCTCACACTGTGCTGGCTCTCAATCTCTTCGTGCTTCTGCTGTAGGGCCTGGGAAGCCCTAATGGAGTCTCCAATGCCCCACTGCGCTCTTAGTTGTTCTGATCCAGGTCCTTCAAGCCAGTTCACAACCTATAAACAAAAGTTGAGACAAAATGTTAAAGAATCAAAAACTTTTCAAACTTTCATTCTAATTGATTTTTCCCCTCCCCAAATTCCCCAAGTATTTTTAGTGTAAATTATTTACATTCTATCCCATAGGCAGTAAATGTTTCTTTTGGGACTACACAGCTATAATGTGCCAAAATTTTAAAAACCTAAATGTAGAAGAATATACACTGTAGCATCACAAGCTTTCAGCTACCTGATCTCCTGCCAGGCTAAAAATAATCTGGAATGCTTCTATAAAAGAGGATTAAAAATTAACTTACGATAATAAGAGAATCAGAGAGCCATAAGATTTAGAGGTTTGGAAGACACATCAGAAATGGTATCAGTCAAAGTTCGTATCTAACATTTAAGAAAACTGAGTTCCAAAGAGATTAAGTGACTTGCCCAAAAGGTCATATAATCTATTACTGAAAAACTGGACTAACAGCCATATGTTCTAACTCACAGTCTAATGTTCTTCTCAAGTATTGAAAAAAACTAAATGAATTAACTACTATAAAGTTAATATACTACTTTCTCACTTCAAAAATAAAATTAAAAACTATTTAGAAGAATTACACTAATGTAATAACACCTTAGAGTCTTCTTAGGATTAACATTCAGACACACAAAGGGCCTCACTGGCACCAGTCTGCTAGTAAAGATGTAGGGAGCGAACTATAGTTTGCCAGGATGACGGTGTCAGGGCTGAGTCCCTCAAGCAGGTATAAGGAGATGAGATCAGTATGGGGCAGATATGGGAGATGCTCTGGCATCAAAACATCATACCCAACAGGGCTACGCCCATTTTGAGTCACTAAACTCAAGAACCTCCCCCACCTCAGTTATGCCTTCTATCATATATTAATAATTCTCCCTGTCCAGATCTGGAATAATGTTTACTATAAACAATACTGCCTAGTAACATAGTTGACATTCCAATTTTTAATCAGGTCTTCAGGGGAACAGAACTAGAAGGTTAAGCAAAGATCAAGTTCTCATGCAGAAGAAGAGTATTATGTTGACACTCTACCCACAATCGTATATTCTCTGAAACTACAAACACATTTCAGAGTAATTTTAGTGGAAAAAATGGTATTACCAAGCTTTACCTGTTGCCAAATTAGAAAAAGGAATTTACAAATAGATGTATAAGATATACAGTTATGTCCTAAATCTAAACTTAGAATAGCTCCCAAGAAGTGAATGAGGGTATCTCTGCAGCATAATATTATAGAGACCCAGTGGGTAGGCTTAACATAGAACTTTATAAAAGAGTAGTGCAGATATATAAAGCTGGGGGTAGGGGGAGGGGGGAGCAGGGGGTTATTAGCAAGTTGAAAAAATATATTTCTAAATCTAATAGTTTATGTATCTTTTTATAATTATATCAAAGTACCACATCATAAAGAAAATTCACATATGCACTCAGCCTTTTCTGGGTATCCACAGATTTGTATGCTTGAATTCAACCAATCACAGATTGAATGTATTTGAGAACACACACACACACACACACACACACACACGCACAAACAGTACAACAATCTTATTTAAGATACTAATAAAAAGCCAATATAGTATAACAGCTATTTTCATAGCATTTGCATTGCAGTAGATATTATAAGTAATCTAGAGATGATTTAATGTATATAAGAGGGTATCCATAGGTTAAATGCAAATATTATGCCATTTTACATGAGACTTGAACATCTTTGGATCTTGGTATCCACAGTCTGCAGGGTGTCCTGGAACCAATCTACCACAAATACCAAGGGACAACTGTATTCTATTTCCTTCCATTAATTTTTCACATGCATAAGGGTTTTCATATGCTACTCCGAATTTAAGTGTTACAGTCAGTTCTCACAGAATACAAGTTTTCACCCTGTTTTTCACTTAACATTAAACTATAATACTTTAATGATTTTCCATTTGGCTATTGTTATTATAACAATTTTCAATGACTTTGCAAATCCTTTTTTTCAGAAAGCCAATCCCGTTGCCTGCCTGCCTCCATCGCTCCCAACTGTCCAGCCAACCAACCAATCAACCCAGCCTTATTAAGAGCTAAGTAATGTACTGCCCCAAGTAACTGTTGTACCTGCTATCAACACTTCAATTCTCTATTGTCAAAGATGTAGAATGTTTCCAATTTCCATCAATTCTAAGTAATTCTAAGACTAACACATATATAGCAGTTATAAATAATGTTTTTTCTCTGTTTTATTTTCCCAGGAAAGGTTTCCAGTAGAGATCTTCTTGGGTCCAATGATGATGTAATCCTAATGCATGTTAATATACTTTATAAAATTGCCTTCTAAAACTGATTTCTACCTGAAACACCCAATTAATGATAGTTTGAACTGTACAATACTCTGCAAGGTATACAAACTATTGTTTTTAAAATAGTTCTGCCAACTGAAAAAACAGAAATCTCTCCATGTATTTTTTAAAGATTAGTGATTGAATATGTTGCAAATGTTTGCTTATTCAAGGTATATGATCTTTTGAGATTCATCTCTTCATATTCTTTGTTCGTTTATGTCCTAGAGTCTTAAAGTATTAATATTAATATATAAACTTGTTCCTCTTCTACTTGTATGGCTTAATACTAGACAGAAGGCTAGGTGCAGTGGCTCATACCTATAATCCCAGCACTTTGGGAGGCTGAGGGTGGGCAGACGGCTTGAGCTCAGGAGTTCAAGACCAGCCTGGGCAACATAGTGAGACCCCATTTCTACAAAAAATACAAAAATTAGCCAGGTGTGGTGCTGCACACCTATAGTCCCAGCTACTGAGGAGGCTGAGATTGGAGAATCATTTTAGCTTGGGAGGCGGAGGTTGTGGTGAACTGAGAGATTGCACCACTGCACTCCAGCCTTGGTGACAGAGCAAGACCCTGTCTCAAGAAAAACAAAAAACTAGACAGCAAAAAACTTCAAAACGAAAATGTCAAAGTATTATTGTTGAGTCGAACAGCCTAAGTGCTATAACTTTCCATTGGCTAACCTCTGCTTTCAGAGTGCTAAGTTCATCTGCAAAACTGTATTATCAGATGCTCTTGAGAATGCAATGGTTTTTTCCTCAACACCTCCATTTTTTCTGCTTACTCTTCTGTATGAGTTCTCTTTGGAGGTTCAGGGTACTAGGATCCTGTTTCTCTCTGCTAGTTTGAGGAAAGTATCACTTTTTCACAAAAGAGACAGATGAGCAGTGTGATATAAGGAAAGCCCTAGGCATGATTCTGAATTCTGAATTCTGTTTCTGCCACTACTAGTGGGTCTGAATTCTGGCTCTGCTTCTCCTAGTTGAAAGACTTTGGTTCTTCATCTTTTAAAGGATGTTAAGGATATCACCATACAAGGTGTCAGGATTATGCCAGTCATTATATGTAAGACAGCACAGTAATAATACTAATAATTATTAGCCTCTATGTTTTTCTTACTTTTTCTCTAGCCTAGTTCCTTCTGTCCACTAACTCTTTATGAAGTATATTTCACAACTGTGTTTTACAATAAGAACCCTGAGTTTCTTGAGAAAGCCCCTGAACTACTATATCTAACACTTTTAAAAATGGAAATAAATAGAACAAGTTTTAAGGAAACATAAACACACATTTTAAAACAATTTTCCATATCCTTTTTGGGAATTGATTGCTTCTCATTTATGACTATGTGTTACAAATACAGATATAGAAACATAGTGATAAAATGACTTTTAAGTATTTTAAATAATTAATGTAATTATTTTACTAGAAATATCTAAGTTCTAAAAATAAAAGTGAAACAAATGCATATAAAACATTTAACTAATTAACAATGTATAGTTTTTAGAAACTTAAGACATCAAACATTTAGACTTTGATTTTAGAATAATCTAGAAACAAATGAAGTAGGTTAATATAAATCGTGATAGCTGGGGATAAATAATTCAATAACATGGAACTTTTGAAATGTCATAAGTTGAAAAATCTTAAATAAAGCAAGGACGTCTCCTTGCCTTAAAAAACCAGTTACATAGTAATAGGCAAATATATATAAATACACACACACACACACACACACACACACGTATGTAATGTGCATATATATATATATATATATACACACGTGTAATGGGCATATATGGCTTTAATATATGCTGAAAGTAATTTCTCTTAGTATAGAACATCAGTAATGTAGACAGAGTAAATATATGACTATTTCTAATAAAAACGATGCAAGTTGAGGTTGGTGCCCCAGTACACAAGTCTACTTAAATGCAATAATAATGGCAGTTTGCCAAACTAGGTTATAAAACTTAATTTCAATCAGGATATCTTGCTTAATCATTCTTAATATTAACTTATTGGAAAAACAGTTTTATGCTCAATCCATATCAATGTAACCTTCAAGTGGTTACATTTATATGCAAAATATAACCTTGGAACTATCCTTTTATAATCAACCAGGAAAAATATCTACATTGGCCAAAAATGTTTGTGACTATCCATGCTTCTTTCATGACTGGCTCATTTTTTACAACTGCATGACAGAACATGTAGAAGTATGCAAAGCAAACCTAGGCAGAAGGGCATGTCAAGCAAATGTCAACCATCTAACCTAGAGAAAGGGTATGGGGAACTGAGAACACAGCCTCCAGTTGTATGCTTATGCAACACACTGTATTCTATTTGGCATCTATGATTCCTCTCCAGAAAGGAAGAAAAGCACATGGATGATTCCAGAAATAACAAGTGCAGTGCTGGCATAATTACTGCCACAATAAATAATGAGCCTAACGATAGTACATTTCAGTGAAGTGGCACTGTCTGCTACCCAGAAGCATGTGAAATCTAATTTTTAACTGTAAAAGCAGCAGCGGTATGGAGAATCTCTGCATACTATATGAAGTTTTATGCTACCAATTTGAACTATGGGGAATAAGTGATAATATCACAGTTATTACTTATTAATTTATCTATCAAAGCTACTGATTGG